TGGTATTGTGTGTCAAATTTGAACTCTGTTCCTTAAGGGGTTAATCCCCCTTACCCATTATGTTATATACTGGTCTTCTGTAATTTAATGTTTCCTTTTTAAGTTTCTTTCTATTTCTTTTGTTTCCTCTTCTATCATGTAGTCTGTGATTTCTGTTTTACCCACCTGCTAGCCCCATTAATCTGAAAATTTTCTATTTGGAAGGTTTTACTTACTAAAATCAAATTAACTTCCATGGAAGCAGATTACTGTCCTGGCCCACAGGGCAAAAGAAACTCATTAGCTTCATACAATATATAATGGGATGAGGAAGATAATATACTTCTCCATGTAAAGAGAATATATATATTTCTCTTATGTTGCCTAAAGATGGCATTAAACATAACATTATAGCAGTTGCATAGGCTATACAGCAATTCAGTTAGAATGATAACTAAGAATAAGCCTAAATAGGGGCGCCTGGGTGGCTCAGTGGGTTAAAGCCTCTGCCTTCGGCTCAGGGGATGATCTCAGGGTCCTGGGATCGAGCCCCGCATCGGGATCTCTGCTCAGCAGGGATCCTGCTTCCTCCTCTCTCTCTCTCTGCCTGCTTCTCTGCCTACTTGTGATCTCTGTCAAATAAATAAATAAAATCTTAAAAAAAAAGAATAAGCCTAAATATCTCACATACATAATTGTTATAAAATAGATAACTTGAGCACAAATCTCTGTATTCATTTTGAGTTAGGTTATTTGACACAAGATAGCTCAAAGATATAATTCACTGAATTACATATTTTTCAAGAAATTCCTCTCAAATTAGATGCTATTCTTTTCAAAGAATAAGCTAGAACTAAAACTAAAATACAAAAATACATGTCCACACAAAAACCTGCACACACACGTTCATGTCAGCATTGCTCATGATAGCCAAAAAATGGTTAGCAAGCCAAATGTCTCTCAAATGAATGGATATACAAAATGTGGTATACATCCATAAAGCAAACTATTATTTGACAATAAAAAGAAATGAAGTACTGATACATGATAAATAGATGGACGAACCTTGAGAACACTATGCTAGGGAAAAGAAGCCAGACACAAAAGACCACATTATGTATAAATAATTCCATTTATATGAAATATCCAGAATTGGCAAATATATGGAGATAGAAAGTAGGTTAGTAGTTGTGTAGGGCCAGGGGTGAAGGGAGTAACAGGAACTGAAGGCTAACAAGTACATGATTTCTTTAAGATTGGTGAAAATGCTCTAAAATTATATTGTGGTGACAGTTGTACAACCTTTGAATATAATTGCACACTTTATGAACTATATGGTATGTGAATTACATGTCAATAAAGCAGTTAAAACACAGATTACAAAAATATAAACTGTTTCTGTATATATGATAAATACAACTCTGATACTCAATTCTATGTAATTGGTAATGACAGTAGGATATTTTATATACTACTTCATTTCAGAGCAAAACTAAGTTTATACCACTTCACATAAATCAGTGAAATACAACTTTCCCAAATACAATTAAAGGAAAATGGAAAATGGAAGAGTAGACTGCTCCACAGAAACACCAAAAAGAGCAAAATGGACCAGAAAAAACTTTTTCAGAAATCTGGAAAACAGTCAAATGTTCACAACAACCAAGTAAATGCAGAATCAAGAAAAAGGCAACTTAAAAACAAGAGGAAAGGGGCGCCTGGGTGGCTCAGTTGGTTAAGCAACTGCCTTCGGCTCAGGTCATGATCCCGGAGTCCCGGGATCAAGTCCCGCATCGGGCTCCCAGCTCCATGGGGAGTCTGCTTATCCCTCTGACCTTCTCCCCTCTCATGCTCTCTCTCTCAAATAAATAAATAAAAATCTTTAAAAAAAAAAAAAAGGAGGAAAGATGTGTGGTGTTTTCACTAGCCCTTGTCCCACCCATCTTCCTGGTTGGGTGGGAGGGTCTTGAAGAAAGCAGCCTGCATTCTCACTGTGGGACTCTAGATTGGGCTAGACAGAGGGCGTTTCTCAAAAACACTGTGAGGCAAATAAATAACCCATTATGCCTGTGACAAAACATTAAAGTTGAAGAAAACATGACATGGCATACCATCAAGTGTGCAAAATATGCATAATGGAAGTCCCAAATAAGAGGCAAAAAAAAAAAAAAAAAAAAAACCCAGAAAAAAATGACTGAAAACTTACAAATTTATGAAAGACATAAATCTACACATTCAAGCTATTCAGTGAACTCCAAGGATAAAAGCAAAAGAGATATGCACTGAGACACATTTTAAACTGCTGAAAATCAAACACAAAAAGAAAATCTTAAGAATCAAGAGAAGCAACTTGTTACTTGTAAGAGATCCTCAATGAAATTAACAAGTGATTTCTCAGAAGAAATCATACAGGTCAAAAGGCAGTGAAAAGATACATCTAAACTGCTGAAAGAAAAACAATGCCAAACAAAAATTCTATATCTCCTTCAAAAGGACACTCAACAAACAGTAAACTGAAGCTGTAAGAAGAAATAAAAAATACTAGTAAAGGTAATTACATAGGTATACACAAAGGTCAGTATTACTATGTTTAGGGCTTCTAACTCCTATATTTTTCCAATATGATTTAAAAGACAAATGCATTAAACAATAATTACATTTCTATCTTATTGGGCACACAGTGTATAAATATGTAAGCTACAACACAATGGGGGAAGAACAGATTGTATATGGGAGTAGAGTTTTTGTGACGATAAAGTGGTAATAATTCAAAATAAATTGTTATAAGTTAAAGAGACTAATCACAATCCCAATGGTAGCTTTTAAGAAATACTCCCTCCAAAGATAGGAGAATATGTATTTTCTAAGCACACATGGAATATTCTCCAGAACAGACCACATGTTAGGTGACTTAACAAGTCTCAACAAATTTTAAAAGATGGAAATTATACAATGTATCTTTTCTGACCACAATGGAATGAAGCTATAAATCAAGAAATAAGGAATACTGGAAAATTCACAAATTTGTGGAAATTAAACAACATACTCTCAAACAACCAAAAGGACAAAGAACAATTCATAAGGAAAATGAGAAAATACTTTGAGATGAATGAAAATGAAAACACAACACACAAAAATTAAGGGAATACAGAAAAAGCAAGCTCAGAGGACAATTTCATAGCTGTGTTATGAGCTGCTAATAAGTCTGTGTTATTTTGTTATGGTGGCTCAAGAAAACTAATACAACGTAAGTAAATAGGAAGACACTCATGGGTGTCCGTGAATTGGAATACTAAATATAGGTTAAGAAGACAAAACAACCCAAGCAATCTACCGAGTCAATAAATGAAATCTTTATTAAAATTCCAGTGGCCTTTCTGCAGAAATGGAAAAGCTGATATTCAAATCCACATGAGTCACAAGGAGCCCTGAATAGTCAAAACAATGTTCAAAAAGAAGAATAAAGTTGGAGGGTTCATACTTTCCCATTTTTCAAAACTTACTAGATGGCTACAGTATCACTTTATCTATTTTTTTTCTTTCACTGATTGTGCTTTTGGTACCATTTGTAAGAATTTACTGTCAAGTCATTAAGGTTTACCCTTATATTTTCTTTTAAGAGTTTTATAGCTTTAGCTTTTATGTTTAGGTCACTGACCCATTCTAAGTTAATTTTTGTGTATGGTGTGAAGTAAGGATCCAAATTCATTCCTTTGCTTGTGAAAATCCAATTGTCCTAGCCCCACATATTAAAGATACTTATTTTTTCCCAACTGAATGGTCTTTGACACCCTTGTTGAAAATTCCATAGGTAGGTGATTTTATTTCTGGACTCTTAGAAGTTCTCTATTCAACCAGTCTATGTCTGTGTCCTTACAGCAGTTCCACATAATTCTGATACTTGAATTTCATGAAAACTAAAAACTTTTGTGCAACAAAGGATATCAAGAAAGTGAAAAGACAATATACAAAATGAGAGAAAATATTTACAAATCACATATCTGATCAGGGTCTAGTATCTTATATATATTATACTTATATAATATATAAAGAGTTTCTATAATTCAACTTATATATATGTATATATATAGTATATAAAGAACTTACATATATAATATATAAAGAACTTCTATAACTCAACAATGAGAAGACAAAACAACCCAATTTAAAAAAATGGCCAAAGGTCTTGAACAGACACTTCTCCCAAAAACAAATACAAATGACCAACGAGCATATGAAAACATTCAACATCCTTAGTCATTAGGGAAATGCAAATCACAAGGAGATACCACTTTGTACTCACTAGGATGGTTAGAATAAAAGCCAGCAAGTATTGGCAAAGATTTGGAGAAATCAGAACCTTCACACATTGCTATGGGGAATGCAAAACGGTATAGCCACTGTTGAGTACAGTTTGGTAGTTGTTCTAAAAGTTAAATATATAATTACCATAGGCCCCAATCCTGGGAAGATACTCAAAAGAATTGAAAACAGGAACTCAGACAAATACTTGTATATGAATGTTACAGCAGCACTATCCACAAAAGCTAAAAGGTAGAAATAATGCAAACGTCTATCAGTGGATGAATGGATAAACAAAATGCAGTACGTATATACATTATTATATCATTCAGTCATAAAAAGGAATGAACTATTGATACATGCTACAACATGAATGAGACTGGCAACATTATGCTAAGTTAAAGAAACTAAACACAAAAGGTTACATATGATTCCATTTATATGAAATATCCAGAAGAGATAAATCCACAGTCACAGAAAGCCAACTGGGATGAGGCCAAGGGCTAGGGAGAGAGAGATGGGGACTGATTGCTTAATGGGTATGAGGATTCTGGGGGCAATGAAAATATTTTGAAATTTTGTATCAGTGGTAGATGAGCAATGTTGTGGATATAGTAAATGTCAATGAATTGAACCCTTTAAGATGGTTAATTTTATGTTAGGTGAATTTCACCTCAATAATTTAAAAAAAGAATATGATGATTGTTTTTTCTACTAACCCGATGAATAATTCCAGCAGAGTGAAGGTGCTTGATTCCACACAGCATCTGATAGAGAAGGTAGGACATTCTCTCATGATCTAGTTCCATCTGAATCACTTGGCAAAGATTTGCATCCATGAGCTCCATGACTATGTAACTTCATGGGTGAAAAAAGATGACAGCTAAAGTGTACAGCAACAGTCTAAGAATAATGTATAAACACAAAATTTTAATTATCACACTTACACATCTTGAAATTCTTCTAGGGATTTCTGTGGTGTGAAAACATTCAAAAGGCCAATTATCTGTGGCAAAAGCAAAGAGACAGAAAAATTAGACAGCACTACTACTAATAATACTTTCATTTAGGAACAACAAATACATGGGTTAAAAAAAAATCCATCGTCAGTATAAAAATTTTGAAATCTTATGTTCTAAGACCAAGTACTCTCTCTTATTTTACATATTAAAACTTTACATCCAGGGATTGGGGGTAGGGAGGGAACCAAAGCACACAGGATCTTTAGGGAGGTGAAAATATTCTGTATGGTACTATAATAGTAGATATTATGTCATTACACATAGGTCCACACCCAAAGAATGTATAACATCAAGAGTGAACCCTAATATAAACTATTGACTCTGAATAATAAGGATGCATTGAGTGATTATAACGAATGTACCAGTCTGGTGGGGGGGTACAGTAATGAGGGAGGCTATGCATGTGAGGGGGCAGGGGGTATATGGGAGATCTCTACACCTTCCTCTCCTTTTTGCTGTGAAGCTAAAAATGCTCTTAAAATAAATAAATAAATAAATAAATAAATAAATAAACCCTATCAACAGAAGAGCTCCACATACCCATTCCATTTATGAATACTCAATTATCAAGGATCTATATTATACAATTCTCTATAAAATTTGTAAGCAAATTTTAAATATCTTCTATCAGCTCTTATCTAATTTAATACCTGTATATAATCTCAACCCTCCCTGTAACATCCTCAGTTTTCATAGTACTGAACTTACCCAGTTTTCTTCATTCCCAAACTATTCACTGGTTCATCCAGAGACATGCCCTCTTTCCCAGCATTCTGTCTTTCTAATCCTTTTCTTTTCTCTACCTGTACCTTATTACCTATATTACACAGGCAATATATGTTGTTGTTGGGTTTTTTTTTTTTTTTTTTTTTTGTTTAAACATCTCTATGTGGATAATTTCCAAATGTACATTAAAAGTCCTTGCTCAGGGGCTCCTGGGTGGCTCAGTGGGTTAGGCCTCTGCCTTCGGCTCGGGTCATGATCCTGGGGTCCTGGGATCGAGCCCCGCATCGAGCTCTCTGCTCAGCAGGGAGCCTGCTTCCCTTCCTCTCTCTCTGCCTGCCTCTCTGCCTACTTGTGATCTCTCTCTGTCAGGTAGATAAATAAAAATCTTTATTAAAAAAAAAAAGTCCTTGCTTAGTTTGTAAGTCTCAAATATATATTGCCTATATATTGCCACTTCACATGAAAATCTCAAAAATATAAAATTGAACTCATTATCATTCCTATCCAAACCCTTTACTTTTCCAGAGTGCCTCCTCTTTTATAAGAGAAGGTTCAGTAAAAGAGAAGGCTCACAGTGATTTTTTACTTTTTCAGTATTTGCACCATAATAAATGTTGAAAAGAATACTATCCCATTCTTCTGTCAGCTGAACTTTAACCTCTTCTTCCCATTCCCTGTGCTACTATATAGATAGAGGATTTTAACATCTCATCTAGATTGTTCATGCTATAATTACTTCTAACATTAAGGTTCCCTAAACAATGGTTTCCATTGTATTGCTTACAATATGGTGTAAAAAAAAAAAAAAAAAAAAAAAAAAAACCAGATCATATTACTGACCTCTTCAAAAACTTAATGCCAGAAAAAAAAAAAAAAAAAATTCCAAAACTCCCTTGCAATACATTCAAAGCCTTCCTTCCAGGACAGAACATCAACCCAGTTCATCTCCTGTTAAACTCTCTATTAAACTTGACACTTTAGCCATCCTAAATAAGTTTAAACAATGTTATCTTTTAAAAATTTTCAATTGCCTTTAAACATACTCCTCCCTGTCCTTGTCACATTTATCTAATGAATCCAGTTACCTTCAAAATTGATTATGCAGCCTGACAACCTCTAGTCCTTGACAGGTTGCTGAATATTTTCTTTACTTAGTCCCCACAATATCTTACATGTTATCAAGGCATTTAACACAGTGTCATGTAGTCTCGTTTTCAAGCCTCATCCCTATCACACCAAGATCTTTGTTAGAAAGAATTATTCACTTTTTCAGCCCTGGCACCATAGGGAGGTACCTGACCCACATTTTTAAAACATTTGTTGACAATTAGGGAGAGGAAAGTTTTTCTAGACCAACTTCATGGGACATAATCTATGTCATTCGTCTAAGCATAAAGCTTTGCTTACAGAAGGCAATCAAATATTTCTTCAGTGAATAAAATCAGAAAAATAATTTCCAGATCAGAAAAGGTCAAACAAATTTGTTTAAGATAGGGAAAGTGATAATAAAAATGCATCTAGCTGCTCTAAATGAATTAATTCCTGACTCCTAGATAGATGAATGCACATCTAGAGACTCAGAGAAATAGTAAAACTCTTCATATCTGAGAAATCCTATAGTAGAAGAGAAGTATTAAAGAGGAAGAGCGTATATGGGGCGCCTGGGTGGCTCAGTGGGTTAGGCCGCTGCCTTCAGCTCAGGTCATGATCCCAGGGTCCTGGGATCGAGCCCCGCATCGGGCTCTCTGCACAGCGGGGAGCCTGCTTCCCTTCCTCTCTCTGCCTGCCTCTCTGCCTACTTGTGATCTCTGCCTGTCAAATAAATAAATAAAATCTTTAAAAAAAAAAAAAAAAAAAAAGAGGAAGAGCGTATAAAGACAAGAGATTAGTGGTTGCTTAGAGCCAAGAGGGGTGGGAGATAGGAAAATGAGAGCTAAACAATATGGAGTCTTTCTGAGGTGATGAAAATGTTCCAGAACTATGGAAAGTCACATATACCAGTGAATATACTAAACCATTGAATTGTACACATTAAATGAATAAACTGTACAGTATGTGAATTGCACCTCAATAAAGTAGTTATAAAATAAAAAATGAAGACACCTGTCTTACTTTTCAAAAAGGAAAGTAAAGGAAATTATATCAGTCAAAGACTGGACAGTCAAACAAAAGTCAAGGACTGATTAAGTGGTCGATATATAAGTACTCTGAGAGAAGTAACACTTACTAGGAGCAGGTAAAAATCCACTGACAAACTGTACTTCCTTCTGTGAATAAAACGACGATGACAACAAAGAATAGCAGCAGTAGACCAGAAACATGAAAATATGAGGATCTCAACAAGGCATCATAATATCCATGTGAATAAGACGAAGAATTCAGGCGAGATGGGTAATTTTTATAGTTACACATGTCGTTTTTGTGGTATACCCAAGGGTCACTAATGAACTAATGCAGCAATTACGAAGGCGTCCTGAGCAGAACTAGGATGCGAAACTAGCAAGTGAAAAGTCAGAACAAAGGAAAAAGCAACCCCCAACAGTCTGGGCAGAGAAACCAGATTTCACATGTGGAATTCGAGGGAGGAACAGGAAGTACTATACTTAACTTCCAAAACCAAAAGACAAAAAGTAAAAGATGGGGGGCACCTGGCTTGCTCAGTCAGTACAGCATGTGACTCCTGATTTTGAGGTTATAAGTTCAAGCCCCAAGTCAGGCGTGGAGCTTATTTAAAAATAAAATCTTAGTAAAAGACGGGAAAGATGTGATCTATTAGCAGGCCTGTGACAAAGAATAACTTGCTAAGACAATGTGAATCAAATGGTGACCTGATTTCTAAATAGGATTATAATGTCCATGGTTAAGAGGAGATAACATGCCTCAGTTATCTTGGAGAATTCAATCAGACATGAAGTACTGTGTGCTAGGTGACATACTAAAGTATGTCTGGAGATAAGTGACCAAGTTGAAAAACAAACTCAAAAGCATCCATGAAAACAGTAGGAAATGCACAACGATTTGAATGTATCTAGTATCACTGAAGTATATGCTTAAAATGGCTAAGAATAGTGAATTTTATATTATATATATATAAATATTATATATATTATATAAAATATTTATATTATTTTATCACAATTAAAAAAAAAAAAAAGAGGTGGGAAAAAACAGAGATGTTTAGACCAGCGAAGAGATTATCTGTGTGAAACATGAAACTGCTGAAAAGGCAAAACATTACAAAAACGTCTATCCATTAGGAGTATAAAAATTCCATTGTTATTTCTGGTTTCTCTATATTGCTGACCCTTGAACAACATGGGTTCAAACTGTGTAGGTACACTTATACATGGACTTTTTTGGGTAAATATAGTACAGTACTGTGCGAGAATTTTCCTTATGATTTTAGTTAACATTTTTCGTCTAGCTTACTTTAAGAACACATATAATACACAAAATATGTGTTAATTAACTACTTATGTTATCAGTAAGGCTTCCAGTCAATAGTAAGCTATCAGTTGTTAAGTTTGGGGTTGTCAAAAGTTATATGCAGATTTCAACTGCACATGGGGTTGACATTCCTAACTCCCACATTGTTCACGGGTCAACTATATTTAGTTTTATATTCATTCTCTGAACAAATATATTTTGAACATCTACTCTATATCAGTACTCTTGTAGGTGCCAAGGGTACTGCTTGCATGGACCCTGCCATCCCCATCAGAGGGTTAACTATGTGAAACAGGCTTTCCATGCCCTCCATCTAGTCGATGGAACCAAGTTGTTTTGCAGTCACCGAGGCTCAGGAAATAGAAGTCATTGGCCATGTACCCAATGCAAAACTAAGCAATATCACCACCATCATTGCCATGAAACAGACTACAAGGGGGCATGAGCAGCTAGCTCTATCTGAGGGCAGGAGGCCATCAGCAAAACTCTGACAAGCAACATGGCTGGCTCCCATCTAGAACAAGAATGGCTAACACGACTTGTTCTCTATCACTGACTTTAATCTATACCTCTTTTTAAATGCTGTTCTTTCTCTCTGGGAGGCCCTTTTCCTTCAACAATCCAATTTTTACCCCATTTTAAAGAATTAGTCTAAAGCCATGTTTTCTCAAAGCTTTCCCATTTCATGAAAGCTCATGCAATCTTCTCTCTCCTGAAATCTCAGCACTTATTTTCCATCTACCACAATTTGACAAACTTCCACTGCTTTATAATATTTGATATTTCATTATGTATTTGTCTTCAAAGTAACACTATACGTTATCCCAAATAAGAAGCCTCTTCAAAGTAACACTATACGTTATCCCAAATAAGAAGCCTCATCCTTAACTTCCATGAATTTCCCCCCTCAGTGACTAGTCTAGTAACTCCAGCACATAGAGGCTTGCAAAGTTAGCTCTCAAAATGTTGTAAACTGTGTTATCTGCAATCAGAAAGCACTGAGCTTATTTTATTTTACAAACTCCTTTGGACAAATACCACAAGACCTCTCCAGTCAGATGCTTTTGGTTTAGTGCTTCATAAAACTCTCCCTTGTATAATTCACTCCTAGTTTATTTCCTCTGGGCTGAGAGAGATCAGTCCATTAAAATAATCATAAAAGCATGCTTAATTAAGTTTAAAAAAGTGTAACTATGTCTTCTCAAAATAAAAGTTGTATGTTTAAGTCATTATAATCATTAAGGAAAAGGAATTAAGGATATTTCCCTAATTTCATTTAAATATTTTTTCAAGTTTCTGCTAAACTGCTTTATAAAATCACAGACTATCTTCAACCTAAAGTGACCAGTGAGTATCAGTATCACTTTAAAAAGTGTGAGTAGGGTAGGGAGAAATGATTTGAATTTTGTATCTTATATTATTGAATAAAATTCCACTGTCAAAGTAAAATGGGAACAATTTCATCTCTGTGCTAAGGCTGGAGTTTTCTGAAATGTCAACCTGACAGAAAACAAAAAGTAGAAAATGAGATCAAGCCTAAATAAAGTTCTGCTAAAACACCTACTTCTTTTAAAACCCCCTTTGCAAATTAAATGTCAGAAAACTATACAATCTAAATTTCAGAAGCTGTCTTCTTTTGATATAATTTGAGAAAAATTTTACAGTGTAGATATACATCCCTTTTAAATAATGTTTCAATCCAGAAGAATTTAAAGCACCTAATATATTTTTTAAAGTTTTTGTTATGTATTCATGAACAAATCTTGATTTCATCTATACTTAAGAAATTTTCTAAAATGTTCACTTACATTTTTGTGATTAACACATTTCATAAGAACTAGCTCTCTGTAGGCCCGTTTAGCATGAGTCTGGTTCTGAAATGGCCGGCTTAGCTTCTTGATTGCAACATTTCTTTCAAGAATGGCATCATAAGCTGCACTGTAACAAGAAATTCAAAACCAACAGAAACCTTTAAAATGTACAAAACTGAATTTATGAAACATTCATGCAGATTCCTTACTTTCTCCAAAGATAAAATGCAACTGTATCAATTTCCAATCTTTGATATTCAACATGTTTCTTCTATACCTATTACAGCATATTCCAACAATGTATAGCATTGTTAACTGTTTCTTAAAATGCTAATATATTCAATGGACTGTGAAGACAGACACAGTGCTTGTTCATTGGGTGTCCTCCAAGATCCACCTAGCATACAATGGGCACTCAATGCACAAATTTTTAATGAGTATTCAGGTCCAATACATAGCTTCAAGCCTAAGGGAATCCTTCACCCTGTACCAACATCAAGGAAAGACAGGATTAAAGAATACATATGGTCATAAGTTCTACCCAAATACTTGCTGAAGAATTCTACATAAGTAGATCACTTACATCTTCCATGGACACAACAAAATGAATGCAGAAAGAGAAAAGAATACACATATAAAGGTATATAAAAGGTTATTTTACAATATAAAAAGTACTTGAGATTTGTTTTAAAGGAAGAATTAAAAAATCAAGTTTACAAATATAAATGCCGGATCTCAGGACATTGGAAGCTGCTTTGTAACTGTTAATGAAACACCTATAATTCTGTGACATAACACCATCCTCATTACTCTTCCTATCTCCTACCATGTGATGCTGACTAAAAAGCATGTTTTGCAAATGACAGAGCAGAGAAAGTAAAGCACAAATAAGGAGAACTATCTTAAAATTATAGAATATTATGATTGAAAGAGACTTTAAAAATCATTTGAATTCACCACATCTAGAGGTTAAATTGCCCAAGGTTTAATCAGAAAGTTAAAAGCAAAGCTGAGACCAAAAGATGAAGACATGAGGTTATTACTTTTCATACTGGACTACCTAAAATACTGTAGGACTTCTGTTTATGTGATATTTGGAAAGTTTACACACTGCTAATTAAAATTATTCTCTCATCTAACTGAAAACTTGAGTTTGTTCTCTATCTCACTCTATCAAACGTAGTGAAGAAATATGTATTAAGACATTGGTACTCTGGCATAAATGGACACATCTACACATAATATATATGCCTTAACTATAGTGTGTGTGTGTGTATGTATATATACATATATATATACATACATACACACATGGCATATACAAAACAGATACACATAGCAAAACAGACATAAATATTATAACCTTAAGTTAGAAAATGTCATATTTACAGATATGTTCTCCCCAATTTAAAAACAAGCAAACATTAGGGGTCATAAAAAAATAGAAGTTTTGACTGTTTCAGATCAAGTATGTTTTATTTGTAAGCACTGAATTCATTCCTATTAACATTTTATTCTGTTAAATCAAAGTAATATTTCCAACTCTTAAGTATCTGAGTAGGCTGCATCACTTTGTATTTAGATTTAGAGTTAGATTTCTAATAGTTAATACTTAAATGTGCACAAACTAGAGATCCCAACCAGGCCCCTATGAATCTTACTATCTATCAATGGGTCCAAAATAATACCTTTAAAAAAAAAAAATTAAGTTCTTCAATTGATTCTGATGGTAACAGAGTGAGTTTAAAAAAAATTTTTTTTAAAGATTTATTTACTTATTTTAGAGAGAGAGTGAGAAAGAGAGAGAGAGAGAGAAAGAGAGAAAGAGAGAAAGCACAGAGTGGGGAGGGGCAGAGGGAAAGAGAAATTTAAGCTGACTCCACATAGAGTTGTGGAACCCCATGTGGGGCTCGAATTTATGACCTGGAGATCACAACCTGAGCTGAAACAGAGTCAGATACTTAACCACTGTGCCACCCAAGTGCCCCCAGGAAACATATTTTTATTTATTTTTTAAATTTATTTGAGAGAGAGCGTGTGCGTGTATGTGCACGAGCATGGGGAGGGGCAGAAGGAGAGGGTGAAGCAGACTCCCCACTGAGCAGGGAGCCCAATAGCTAAGATCCTAAAATCACAATCTGAGCTGAAGGTAGAGGCTTAACCAACTGAGCCACCCAGGGACCCAACAAAAAACATTTTAAACACTATTAAGAAGCTTATAAACACTACTACATTCCTTACAACAACCATGTAAATTTGGTGAGAAAACTGGCTTAGAAGTGTTAATTTGCTATGAGTCACAAATACATCATAAAGCTAGAATCTGAACCATGAGCTGGCTTTCAGAATCCTCCCTGTACTGACTGCAGCACACTATTTTCTTTAAATTTAATTTGTGGTTTGTTAAATGTGGTTGGTTAAAATGACAACCAACCAGCCAATAATAGTTTATAAAATTACCCAAATTCTGAAATTTCTGGTATTATAAATTACTTCAAGAGTAAAGAAAGAGAGTAAATGCTACTGTTCCCATTAGAGAAATCTGTTCGATTTTAGTATTTTACCATAATTCCTATTTTTTTTTTTTTAAAGTAGGCTCTATACCCAGCATGGAGCCCAACATGGGACTCAAACTCAGGACCCTGAGATCAAGACCTGGGATGAGATCAAGAATTGGACACTTAACTGACTGAGCCACCCAGATGCCCCAAGGGCTGAATTTTTAAAAAAGTAATATATTATCACAGGTAAAGTCCCCTCCCTTGTCTCTATTTTCAGAGGTAAGCATTATTCTGACTTTGGTGTTTACTAATGATTTTTATACTTTCCTACCTATGTATGCATCCATAAATTTATGGTCCTATTTTGCATATTTTAAAACTATAAATGGTACAATAATGCGTATATATTCAGCATTTTCCTTTTAAACTCAACACTTCATTTCTGAGATTGTCCCTGTTGAAACCTAGTTCATTTTAAATGTTGTATAGTATTTCACTATATGACGTATCACAATTTTTTATTCTCATGGATAGACTTGCTGCTGTTACAAATTTTTGCTATTATAAATGGTGTTGCAAAGAACAAACCTATGTATGTCTCTTTATGTACATGTGCAAGAGTTTTTCTAGAACCTGGGAGACCTGCAGGGTCATAAAAACTTCTGATTTTTTTTTAATACTCTGAAATGAATCTGGTTCAGAAAGAGGTAATACACAATTACAATGGAGTGAGGCTTAGAATTCCCCCAAACATTAGCTTATTATGCTAACTTAGTGACCTAAAATCATTAGCAGAACTGTCCCAAAAAGTGTTCTACCCTTCATTTTATAAAGAATTATGTTCGGGCAGCACCTGGGTGGCTTAGTCAGTTGAGCGTCTGACTTTGGTTTAAGCTCGGGTCATGAAATCAGGCTGCATTGGGCTTGCGCTCATCTGTAAGTGGGCTTGAGATTCTATCCCTCTGCGAGCCCCTGCTCCCCACCCCCATGAGTGCTCTTTCTCTAAAACAAATAAACAAATCTAAAAAAAAAAAAATCATGGTGCTCTATAAACCCAAGGCCTTTCATAGAAATTAGCCAATAAATCAATTTTAAAGATACATATGAGTTTTGAAACACATACAATGAGATGATATTAATTCACTTCATTCCCCAGTGAAAAGTAAGATTTTTGAAATTCCAGAGTTTCATTATAGTATGAAAGTGAAGATTAAGTGAAGCTTCTTATTAAACAACTAGCTATGGGAATAGATGTATATATGGAATTGACAAGCATGCCACTTATTGTTTCCTGATATGGGTATTTGTCTTTACATGGCTTTTGACCAAGTATGTAATCATACTTTATACTTAAAAGATGGCAGTGCTGATTTATAAAGTTGCATTTAATGAATAATAAAGACCACCAACCCAAGAATAAAAAAGTTTGCCATGTTACAGCTTTAATTTAAACTTCATAGTTTTATTTTAATTTTTTGAGGCAAGTTAAATATTTACCAAGGTATATATAAGAAAAGATGGCAGTTAGTGATTCTTTGCCTAATTTTTGAAAGTAAAAACTTACCATACTATTCCTTGAGCTCCTGAGCCTATAGGTTTTAAATTCTGATATCGTTTCAAGACTGTAAATGTAGAATCTCCAATCTCTACACTATAAAAATTGCTGTCACGCTTGCTTCTGCTCATGATGGCAAACAATTAATTTAATGGCTTCATCCAAATATTCACCGAGAAGCTGCAAAATGGAACAAAATGTGATGTTAACAAAACGAATTTATTTAATCTTAAAATTCAAGTCCTCACCCTCTTCACTGATAGTAACACAGACTGCTATACCATATTAAAAGAGCTGCTTCATTAAAACAAACTGAAGGTTTTAGAGGGGAGGGGAGTGGAGGATGGGAGGTGATTGGTATTAAGGAGGGCAAGTATAGCAAGGAGCACTAGATATTATATGCAAACAATGAATCATGGAACACTACATCAAAATCGATGTACTTCATGGTGACTGACTAACATAACATAAACATACACACACACACACAGAGAAATAATGGTTAAAAAAAAAAAACCACAATTAGAAAAAAATACCACAGAGCTTGGTTAGCCTCTGTTATACTTAAGGAGATGATTGATAGTTACAACAAAATGTTTACAAGGGTTAACAGCTTCTCTACTATAGGTCACTAGTATTAATATGCATATGTGTCTTAATTTATTGGAAAACTGTAAAATGAAAAAAAACAAATAATTAAACTAAACATGCTTTTAAGGTCACTTCCATAGCTTAAAATTTAAAACCAGTCCTTTTTATATATTTATAATAAAATATGGAAACCTTAATTTTTGTGAGAAACTGATAAACTTCCATTCAAAAATAATTCACAATCTCATTTAGTGTGACATGGAAGAAACAACCAACTGTAGGCTAGTAAGCTGGTTAGCATGTATGATCCCTACATAACAAATACAGAGCAATATAGTGCTGTCACCATAACAAACCCCCTGATTTCCAACAATTAAGTGTCATGCAGGTTATAATGGTTGAAAGGATGAGAAGAAGGGCAGAAAATATAAGATAAAATAAGAAGATATAAAATAAAGTTAAAAATAAGAAAATATAAGAAAAATATATAAAGAAAAGCATTTAGTTTATTAGGATGTGAAATAAAATAATACTGTTTTGAATTGTGTGGGGCCTCAAAAGCATGACCTAAGTTCTGACCACAGCTCTTTACCACATGCCCAACTACAAGCCAAGGAAGTCTTTTTCCATCTATTTGAGTTGCATTTATTTACAAACCGATTATCCATTCTTATTAGATGAAAGTGCTCTATTCCAAAATGCTCCGCACATCCCATAATAAACCAATTAGGTCTAAAGTATTACTGTGTTTGTGTGTTGTGTGTATTTGTATGGTTTTAAGACAATGCTAACAAAAACAAAATCCTGATAAGATTTATAATGCAAAGAATCAATTTAACAAATACTAAATGCCTAACCTGTGCCAGACACTATATTGGGCCCTAAGGCCAGATTACATAGAAGCTCATGAACTGGATTTTAACACAACTGAATTCTTAGAGCAGGATGGAAGGCACTGGGAAGTGAAGAGTGAGAGCACCTTGACCAGCATCCTAGCTGCTGCTAGGAGATTATATTGCAAGAGGAGGGGAACAAAAGCTGGAAGAGGAAAAATTAGTAAACTACTGTACTCATCTGGATATTGTACTAATCCAGATAAGAGATAAAATTAAAATTAATGAGGATTCTCAGATGTGATGAAACTAAACAAAAAAGTCCAAACAGTGTGGCTTTAAAAGAGAAGGTAAGTAAATTGAAAGCAATGGAGAAGTCAGATAAATGATTTGGACACATTGAAGAGGGGCCAGAGAACTATTTCCAAAATCAGTAACTAAACTAGTTATGTAACACTACAGAGAGAAGTGCCTGAAATGACAAATGTCATTAATTGTGCCTAAGAAGAAAGACCAGAAGCTTACAGAAAATGTTTGGTAATGATCTAAACATTTAGATATGCTCATAGGATGATCAAATACAGGTATTAGGTACCCAGACCAATTTCCTAATGTAACCTGAATTCCCTCCTGTCTACCACCGTAGGGAAATAGGGAGAAAGAAAAGTGAAAAGACTTGGGAAGAGAGGGAAATGTGGGGTGTAAGGCCCCTCATCAAATATTCTACATATTGATCCTGGAAACTCGGTCTGCCCAGGGCCCGGAGACCGTAATAATGGTCTTTGGTAATGTGCACATATGGTCAGAGGTGGAGTACAGAACCTCCATAATAGCAAGGAAAGGCTTCTCTCTATTTCCAGAACAGAATGGCCTGGAAGCAGGGGTACCCATGGTACATAAACAGAAGTCTAGACTAAGCTATGGCAGCAGCTGAGCAATGACAGGTAATACAACTCCCCAGGAACAGGCACAGCAGAGTACCCCAGGTTAAGTAGGTAGGCCAGTCAGTAGTACCCTCCACAAATGCCATAGCTACCATTCCCACAAACGAGAAATAGGAAACTACTCACTTATGCTCTCAGTTGCACAATATTTAATACCTGAGTCAAATTCTATGCTGGGTACAGTAAACACAACAGTAATCAGCAACTGTCTATCCCTTAATGGAGCTTGCAGTTAAGACAAATAGACCTTATGTTGCTTAGTATCTGCCTGTGTATCAATATAGCTCCAAAGACAGTATGAAGGGAAAGGACAGGATGCTAACAAAAGCAAAACTATACTAGTCTGGGGTCAGGAAAAAATTCTCTTGATGCTGTGATGTTTGAGCAAGATCTGAACACTGAATATGAGCTAACCAGGCATGGAGAGAAGGGAGCTTTCTAGGCAGAACAAACAGCACATGCAAGGTTTGATGAATGTATACAATCCTATAACCACAACCCAAACCATGATATAAATTATTTCCATTACTAGAAAATGTTCCCTGTGTGAGTCAATCCCTGCCCTCTATTTCCCACAAACCTCTGGCAACTGATGAACTGCTTAGTTGTATCTTTCCTAGATCTTCATATAAGTTAAATCACACAGCATTATGTAATTTGTGTGTCTGGCTCTTTAACGTGACATAATTTTTTTTTTTTTTAAAGATTTTATGTTTTAAAGTTATCTCCACATCCAACATGGGGCTCAAACTCACAAACCCAAGATCAGGAGTTCCATGTTCCACCGAAAGAGCCAGCCAGGTGCCCCTGCCCTAATGCATTTACTATTCACCTGTGCTGCTTCCCTTTTTACTACCAAATGCTATTTCATCATGTGGATATACCACTGGGACATATGGATTGTTGCCAGTCTGGAGGTTTACAAACAATGCTAGTAGAAACATTCACACTTTTTTTTTTTTTTTTTTTGCCATTCATCTTGGGTAAATATTTAGGGGTAGAATTCTGAGTCCTATGTTCAACTTTTATAAGAAACTGCCAGTCTTCCAAAGTGGCCATACCATTCTTCATTCCCAGCAGCAAAATAAGAGTTTTTACCTGCTCCACATTCTTAGATTGCCATTTAACTTTAAGTATGCTAGTGGTATACAGTGGAATTCCACTGCAGTTTACATTTATGTTTCCTAATGATTAATGGTGTTGAGCATTTTTTCATAGGCTTATATGCAATTTTTTGGTGAAGTAGCTAATTAACACTTTTGCCCATTTAAATAGAATTGTTTTAATACTTACTTATATATTCTGGAGATACATCCTTTATCAGATGTTGTGCAAGTATTTTTCCCCAGTCTGTGGCCTGCCTTTCCATTTCCATTTTCTTAAGTGTCTTTTTTTTTTAACATTTTACTTTGAAATAATTTTAGAACCACACAGAAGTTACAAAAATAGTACAAAGATCCTAGCTATCTTCACCCAGCTTTACTCAAATAAGAGCATCTGACATAACCACAGCACAATTATCAAAATGAGAAAGTTGACGTTGTTACATACTATTAGAAAAAGAAAACCTGGGGGCACCTGGGTGGCTCAGTGGGTTAAAGCCTCTGCTTTCGGCTCAGGTTATGGTCCCGGGGTCCTGGAATCGAGCCCCCACATCGGGCTCTCTGCTCAGCAGGGAGCCTGCTTCCCTCTCTCTCTGCGTGCCTCTCTGCCTACTTGTGATCTCTGTCAAATAAATAAAATCTTAAAAAAAAAAAAAAGAAAGAAAGAAAGAAAAAGAAAACCCGACACTGGTACAATACTATTAAACAAACTACAGACTTTATTCAGATTTTACCAGTTTTTACATGTACTTTGTATGTAAATTTATCACATACATCTATTAGTGTAATAACAATCAGGATACAGAAGTATTTCATCTCATCAAAGAAAATCCTTTGTGCTAGCCCTTTATATAATTACACACTCTTGCCAACCCTACCCCTGACAACTAGGATGCTTCCACCACTACAATTTTTTTTCATTTAAATAATGTTATGTAAGTGAAATCACATAATATGTAACCCTTCACAGTTTCCAATATATAGGCCTTGCAAAATTTTGTTCAATTTCTCCTTAGTATTGATATTCTGGGTACTACTGTAAATGTCTTAATGTTAACTTATTGCTAGTCTATATAAAAAAAAGTTTTTTGCATAATAACTTTGTACTAAGCTCATTTATAAGTCTTAGTAGCCTTTTTTTGTGGATTCTTTGAGGATTTTCCACATATACAATCAGTTTCATTTCTTCATTTTCAACTTGGATGCCTCTGCATTACTTTTCTTGCCCAACTGTACTAACTACCATTTCCATACAATCCTGAATAGAAGTGGTAAGAGCAAACATCATTCCCTTGGTTCCTGATCTGAGGTGAAAGCCATTCAGTCTTTCACCACTAAGTATATAAATGACAGGATTTTACTAAATGGCCTTTAACAATTTTCTGTAAAACATTGTTAAACAACATTTAACAAACATTTACTAAATGGACATTAACAAGATGAGAAAGTTCCCTTTAAGTCCTATTTCACTAACAGTTTTTTGTATTAATAAGCAATGAATTTTGTCAAATGATTTTTCTGAATCTACTAAGACAATCATATAATTTTGTTTTCTTAGTTGGTTCATATGAAGTACCCTGATTTTCAAATGTTGAACCACCCTTGTATTCCTGTAATGAATCCCACTTGGTCAAAAGTATCCTTTTTATATTACTGATTCATTTGGCTAAAATTCTGTTGAAGGCTTTTCCATTTATTTTTATGGGGAA